TTACTCTTATGCAGGTCTACATAATTTGAGCTAGAGATTTTAATGTATGCAAAGCTCTACATACACCATGGACAGGCAATTTTTAAAGTCACTGGATGCCTGTGTAGAGGTATTCAGAACACCTAACATGCAGGAACTACAAAACTTTGGCAATGGAGCAATACAGGGCAGAGCTGAAAACCTTTGATGGGCTGACCGTTCTACCACACTATGTATTATCTCATGAGCAAAAAGGCTTTACATTGTTTCTTTCACACATACACCATAAAAGATAGACGACTAGCAGTCCTTCACCTGCACTGCATATGACCCTATAGCACTGCATAGAGTGCCATCTGCTTCCTAATCTTCACCTGACAAACTTAATCCTCATGTCCTCACATACCTCATATCATAACTTAAGTCCTAAGTCTGACTGGCTATAGCCAGTAACTGACCAGCCCAATATAGCTGCCACAAAGGTATCACACTACATTACAATTAAAATTAAGATCCCGAAGATAAACCCGAAGTGATTTAAATGATTGTCATTGCTTCTCTACCTTTGACCCTCATGCTAAAGGATTTCACATCTCTCCCATGTATATTCAACTAAAACAGAGCTTGTGGATCACCAGTCCATACTGCATGTTGCCAGATTATATGAGGTATGGGAATTGTTGGTTTTTAGCCAAAGTGCTGAATGCATGAAGTCCATGGCATTTGTGAGACTTAGTCCAAGGTAGATGTGGTACTAGATACAGGGTTTAGCAGTTAAGCGAGTGAATGAGTGAATGAGTGAATGAGTGAATGAATGAGTGAGCAAGTGAGTGAATGAGTGAGTGAGTGTGAGTAAGAGAGAGAGAGAGAGAAGAGAGAGAGAGAGAGAGAGAGAGAGAGAGAGAGAGAGAGAGAGAGAGAGAGAGAGAGAGAGAGAGAGAGAGAGAGACAAAACAGACAGAGACAGACAGACAGACAGATAGAGACAGACAGACAGACAGACAGATAGAGACAGACAGACAGACAGACAGAGAGAGACAGGCAGAGAGAGACAGACAGACAGACAGAGAGAGACAGACAGACAAGAGAGACAGGACAGACAGAGACAGACAGACAGACAGATAGAGACAGACAGACAGACAGATAGAGAGACAGACAGACAGACAGACAGACAGAGAAGAGAGAGAGAGAGAGGAGAGAGGAGAGAGAGAGAGAGAGAGGAGAGAGAGAGAGAGAGAGAGAGAGAGAGAGAGAGAGAGAGAGAGAGAGAGAGAGGAGAGGGAGAGACAGACAGACTGACAGATAGACAGAGAGAGAGAGAGAGAGAGAGAGAGAGAGAGAGAGAGACAGACAGACAGACAGACAGACAGACAGACAGACAGACAGACAGACAGACAGACAGACAGAGAGAGAGAGAGAGAGAGAGAGAGAGGAGAGAGAGAGAGAGAGAGAGAGAGAGAGAGAGAGAGAGAGAGAGAGAGAGAGACAAGAGAGACAAGAGAGACAAGAGAGACAAGAGAGACAAGAGAGACAAGAGAGACAGAGAGAGACAAGAGAGACAAGAGAGAGAGAGAGAGAGAGAGAGAGAGAGAGAGAGAGAGAGAGAGAGAGAGAGAGAGAGAGAGAGAGAGAGAGAGAGAGAGAGAGAGAGAGAGAGAGAGAGAGAGAGAGACAAGAGAGACAAGAGAGACAAGAGAGACAAGAGAGGCAAGAGAGGCAAGAGAGGCAAGAGAGGCAAAGAGAGGCAAGAGAAGAGACAGAGAGAAAGGGGGGCAATTTCTAAAATCAGTTGGCCTCTATAAAAAACATTAATTTTAGGATCACTGGAAGTCTTCTAAACAAATAGCAGAAATAGTCAGCTGAATAAATAAAAACAATATTCAGCATCAAAGACCCATAACTAGCATAGTAACTAGGGACAGTGGGCTGTGAGGGAGGCTTACATTCGCCTCATGATATCACTCACACGACACGTTGCTAGGACTTGCCTAAGCTCTATCTTGCTAGATGAAATGTAATAGAGATCTTGCTATCCAGGACAAGAATATTTAAACCCCACCAATTGCTGATGATACCTCAGGCCTTCTCTACCTACTAAGTTTTGAATCATTGCTAATGTCACCAGGCCCTAACTAAAACCACTTAATGTACCCATAACATCATGAAGAGTCTGTACAAGAAAATCACTAAAAATGGAAACATGAACCCATTAGCTATCAAGGATATATCATAATTTGGAAAATATGAAGTGGTAACACATCTGACACATGGCAACACCACATGCCACAGTGAGTAGATATGGCTGGCTGAAGTTTACCCAAATATTTAATCTTTTCATCCTTTTGGTAATGAATGACATGAAGATGGGCAAATTGCCAATAAATAGTGTTAAAATCATTAAACTTACCAGTCCAACTTACACAAACTCCAAGTGCATGATAACAAGCCATCACCAAGACCATCCAGCTCCATAGATATACCACCACCAGTGGGGCTAACTCACTGACGACAAGTGACATGCCATAATGTAATGGCAAGTAAGCACAGTGAATACTAATGTACACCCATCCATGCCTGAGTTTCAAAGAATTTTACCAGCCATTATTGTGTTATCAAATCTGACTTCATTCAGTAACTTTTCAGAATACAACAATGAAGAAATGGTATGGCCTCTACATTTTGCAATCCAGCCACAACCAACGAACATGGAAAGGTGGAATTTTGACTTATTCTATATATCTTGAAAAATAATGAAGGAAGTTGAGTTGACATGCTTCATCTTGGTCATGTAAGCACACATCCATTTAGCCTACTTTTTAAAAAAGTTATTCTAGTTTCAAATTTTGCAAATAACCTATCATATCTAATATCTATAGCTATTTTTGGTGTTCTTCATTGTTTTTTCCTTTACAGTAATATATTTACAAGGAATCTTGGTAAAGGTTTGAAAGTCAACCACATACCCCTGACTAGCCTCATGCCTGTCCGTGCTCTGGCAAAAGCTACAAAACTTCTACTACATTTATCCTGGAAAAGCAATGCTTTAAGACCTTCCTGCTGACAAACTGTCACCAGATTAGAAATTCAGCTGCACACCTAGATTCTCAACCGCAGCTGCAGCCGCATCAAGTAAACAAGATGGTCTTTCACAGCCACATATTTAAGATAGTTATGGGCTGCAAATGCACAGTTAATGTTTTCAGCTGCCCATACCTACCAGTTTTTTACGACAGTAAACTAGGTAATTGTTACCAATAGCAACACACCCTCCCAGAGACTAAGTAAAAAAAAACTGATGTTTTTCTGATGAAATACAGCGATTTCATCAATTCTTGTCATTGTATCTTCTGCAAATGAATCGTTGAGGAGATCGAGTACCATTTCTCCATCAACAATCTTACTTTGATAGTCCCTAAAATAATAAACCAAATACCTTTATATCTGGAAACGTCAAACTTTCATTCGCATCTTTCTACTGTCTGGATTGCTTTGATTTTATTCCTTTTTTCGGCATTTGGGGCTCAGGTATTAAACTGGGATGGTTACTATAGCCTTATTTCTTCTTTGTTGCCACTGTATAGTCTTAAGAATAACCCAGAATCAACACAACACTGGAAATGCAACATTCCTCACCAGCCACCTGTCATGGAGTGTCCAGCTTTGAACTGTCAAACCTAGGCAAGGGTTGGCGACTGAAAGTGTGAAATGCACGCTGCACAGATAATTCTAAATATGTGTATAGATAAATCTTAAAACACGTAAATGAAATATAATAATATTAATAAAAGACATCAAAAGCATAAATGTGTTTTGACGAGAGCATAGTAACACATGAACTACTTGGAAAATTGCAGTAATGAGTTATGCAGTCAGTGTTGTGTTAGTCCTGGCAAGGTAAACAAGATGAGCGAATCTGTGCAGTGATATGCAGGGTATATTTTCATCATTTAGTCGTGAATATGATGCGGCTGCAGCTTAAACTATGTTGTATCCTATTCTATTTTTTCCACTCTATAAGATGGCAGTGTCCATTTCCCTCTATCTCCGCGCATTGCTATAAGTATCCTATACCATAAACTATAGCAACTAAAATTGAACTGCAGCATACCAACTCACAATTTGCAATCTGGCACTGTCATACAAGGTAACCAGTCAAAGCTCAAACTTGCCAAAATATGTAAGGAAATTTGATGGCTTGAGCTGAGGGGATAGTGATCACTTGACAATACATCACTATCATGTTGGACTTTAAACTGCAAGTCCTCCATTACAGATCACAGAAAGTTCTTAATACAATTCAAGCTGCTGTAGGTATGTCCTAAATATATCCCTAAATTTCTAAAGTCACAATAAAAAATACTTTGACTTCATTATCTTCTATCCATCAAAATTCCAATTATCCAAAATTCAGCAAAAGCCAAGCTCTAGAAATATGCATAGCATGCATTATCATAAACAATATACGAAAGTAACTGAATGGTGAATTTGAAGACACTTTTTCTATGATGCAATTGCCACATATTGATAATAAAAATGTAAAATGAAAAAACACCATGACTGCCGTAGTTAAGCAATTAATACACCTTATGCAACTTCTACACAGGCAAAATCCGAATAATCTCAACCTTGTGTATTGCGGCCTTCGATTGGCTCCTTGTTGGACAATCGACTGGCAGCTTGGCCTACAACCATACACACAATAGTCATGCCCATGGTGGCAAAAGCTATGTCCTGTTTCTATTATTGTTTTTCATGTTAAATTTCCCAATTTGCAATATCTGTGTCACATAAGAAATATCTATACAGTAAAATTAATCAGCCTTTCACTTACTTGTTCTGCTAGTCTACCACTACGACTACGCCCGAAAGGAAAATTAAACACGAAAATTTCCGCTAAAAAGTTGATTTCAAAACCGTTTCTGAGCAAACTCGTTATGTTTTGAACAGACGTGGTTTCAACTTCCAAAATACAACTTTTTCCATAAGCACAGCAAAACAGGCAGCGAGGGGCAATAGACAGA